CTGATTTTATATTTAATATGAACATTAATGCTGAACTCTTTTCAGCAGGATTGTATTCATTTCACGACAGATTGTAATGATATTTCTTAATCTAAAGTATTTTTGTGTGCTGACACACAAACCATGCTGTCAGAAATGTGCGGCAGATTCTTGAAGTTAATTTTTTGTCTATATTAAAACTGGTAAACGCCTTCGCAGACTAACGTACAGTTTTTTCCAGGCAGAGTTTATATTTGCGTGAAGTGTATGTCAGACAGAAGTTGAGGGCGCTTAAAGGAAATGGAAAGAGTCAGTGTTTGATGTGCAAACACTTTGAAGAGAAGGCTTGTTTGGTCTTTTTTATTCAGGTTTATGCTGACAGCTCTGTTATGTTAATGCAGTGTTTCAGTAAAATACAGCATAAATTAAAATTCTATATCAGGTTATTGAGAGACATCCACTACATAAAGAAAACTGTCTTCAGACGCGGGGATTTATATGCAGCAGACAGTAACTCAAATAAACACAAATAATTTACTCCATATACTTTCTTAAATGCTCAAAACCCTTCTTCTCCAGTATTATGGACAAAATAATGAACTTTTAAAATGATCGTTAACTGATATAAAAGACAAAAAACAGTGATGTGAAGGTGAAAGTCTCACACCAACTAATGTGTGTTACATAAATTGGAAAAAATAAACTTGAAAGTCAGGAAAATATTATGTTATGAATATAGTGGTCTGTTTTTGTTTTTGTTTTTTTGCCCTCCTTGGAGCTCACATTTTAAATTTTATGGAAAGGCATGTTTTCATCACAGGAAACTGAACTAACATTAGAAAAATCCACTGAGGAGCCACTTTGGTTCATCAGTAAAATGACTCTGGCATATACTCTCACACATTTGCAGGTGTGAGGGAACAACGAAATGTGTAGCTTATAAATTAAATATAAATATTTAAAAATAATAATAAATACAGCCTGTATGTAAATACATCTAAATGTACAGAGTTGGATATGCATTAAAATTTAGGCACTAGAAGACGAGCGACTGGTATGAATCAATGACTGAATTTAATCAAAGCTCTCCTATAAACACTTGAAAACAAGCTTCGAGAATCTCCAGGACTTTATTTGGGTATTTATTCTGAAGCATTAACGGTCAGTGGTCATCAAGAAGGCTGCGTGTCGTCAGTGAGAGGTGATGAAAAGTTTTAAAAAGCTTTTTCCCTCACAGGTTTTAATTAGTCTCCCACTGACTCTCACTTCTAATGTGTCTGACTTAATAGAAAGAAATTAAAAGCTGTGGGTGCCAGCGAGCCCCAAAATAAACAAGTCTGTAGTTTATTGATTGTAAACGCAGTTAACAACCCCTGTTTAAATACACGAGGGTGCAGAATATTAAGAACGCTCGAGAGTGACCAAGAGTGGCCATCCAGTATTATAGTAAACCTTCACCTGAGTGTTAAAACAAAAAGACTCAGGTGACTCTGTTGATGTACTTTAATATGTGGAAAAAACATATATTATATTGTATCAAAGCCTAAAAGACCCCCTTTCTTTCTGGTCCCGGCCTCTCAGGTGTCTCTGATGCCGCAGCAGAAAGTCGCCGTGGCCACCGTCTGCTCTTTTTCGGCTTTTTCGGTTTTTCCATCTACCCGGTTGCCATGGAGCTGTCGGTGGAGTGTTCGTATCCCGTTGGAGAGGCCACGTCAGCTGGACTCGTCTTTGTATCGGGGTACTAATGTCTGAGCAACACATACTTATGGTTTTATCTCATTTTTTAAAAATACTGGAGTTCTTGCAAAATTCTGCTGTAAATTATCCTGAGATCGTAAACCACTTCAGAGACAATATGAGGAATGTATTTATCATCTAATTGTGTCTTAAAGTCTTATTAAAGAATGGGGGGGAACTAAATTTTCACTAAATCTTCAAACGATGCACAGAGTCATCTTAGAAAATCTTTGTCTAGTTTTTTTTTTTTTTTTTTTTTTTTTTTTTTTGGCTTTAATTTTGCAGGAGATTGCTTACTGTAAAAAATCAGCTGCTTAGCTGACATCATAACAAATGGCTTTCATATTTGTGCTGTCACCTGCAAAATGTTTTGGGTCACTGTTGTGGGTGTTTCAGTAAAATGTAGCCTGACGTCACCTGGAGATGCACTCAAAGGCTTTCAGCTTTTCATGACCCATTTAAAAGTTTGTGCTGATGTTGACAGATCATGTTATATCAGGTGTGCCTGTAGTCGACCATGTGCCTCAGAGATTAGATAGTAAATAGAAAAATGTGAAGTTGCATTACTGAGACTGATGTGACCGTTTTCTTCTTCCAGACAGGTTCAGTCGGTTGTCTACATCGTCCTCCTTCAAGCTCTGACCACACGGCTCGCAGACTCTCCCCTGTCCACCTGCGGGGAAGCAGCCTTGAGCTGGAAGGGTAGGTCGCATGATGTTACATCAAACCTCTGTCTGCTGCTGGTCGGTTTAAAGTTTATTGATGTGCATTAGTTTAATCTGAGGTCCGTGCTGGATAGAGTCGGTCCCAAACTCTTTCATGGCATGCATTTCTAATTTCTCTTTGCTATTTGGGCTGATTGCGACCTGATGAATGTACAAACAAAGAATTACCTGATTTTGGTTTTTTGTTTTTGGGGGTTTTTTTGGGTTTTTTTGTTTTTTTGTTTTGTACCTGATTTTGGTTTCTGAGAAAAATGAGATCCACATATGAGGACATTCGCTTGTACACAAGAAGCCTCCATGAAAGTGGAAATGTTTTGTAATAGACGCGTAATGTCTTTGAGGAGAGCGTTTGGACTAAAACTCGACCTTCCTGTCGTCTCCTACCCTCAGTGCCCATGATGGTGATGGCAGGGCTGTGCACTCTGTTCACCTGCTGCTTCCTCGTCTTCTTCAACACCCGCTACAGGCGACTGGAGGCCGAAGAACAAGCGACTTACGGGACCAGAGAGAGCCAGCATCTATACAGGAATGAGCAGCCTCCGTGGAGGCGTAAAGCTGCTGATAATACAGAGGAAACATGCCACTATGAGTGAGAGCAGAAAGGTACTCGAACAGATGATCTTTTTTTGTTTTGTTTTTGTTTTTTAAATAAAGATGTTTGTGTGTAGTTTGATTAAGTCACAAACTTTTGGTACATTGTTGGATGTAACAAGTAAATAATCCAAATTTCCAATCCTCAAAAAAAAGTTTAAATTATTATTTTCCAGCCACTTTGGCATGTAAATAATCTGTGTCAATACATTAAAATAATTTCCATCTTCTTTTTCTTCTCATCATAATCATCATCATAATAATAATAATAATAATAATAATAATAATAATAATAATAATAATAATAATAACAAGAATAATATTATTATGATGAGAAGAAAAAGAAGGAAACCATTTTAATACAGTACACTGCACTTTTACTCACTCAGATTTAATATAAATGAAATGTTACCTCAAAATGAAGTTCGTTGTGTACACGGGTACAAAACACCCACCCACACCTGACCAGGTACAGTAGAGTAAATGGTAATGGGAGTTCGGTGCTTTGTTACAAAACCTGCTTTTATGGATTAAGTAAAATTTCACATGTAGACCACATGTGTCAGCATTCATGTATCCACTGTCCTTCAGTGCACTCCACTTTAGTCTTACAGTCTTCCTTTGAACAGCAAACATGTAAAGGTCATAAACTGTGAGTCACATGACTCAGCACACTCGTTCGTGTGCAGATTCATTTTGCCTCTCAGGGACTGACTTTGTGCCGTCAGTCAGCACTCGTGCTGCTTGAAATAACTCCTGATGCCATCCTAGTACAGTGAGAGACTTGACTTTATAGATCGTAGGAAGGAAACTTGCATACATTTTTGAAAAATCACTGTAAAAATCACAAATATTCTCCAGATATCATGTCTTACCTTTACGTGTTAAACGGGTTTTCTGCAGGTTTCTGAAAACTGTTTTTCAAACATGACTACCTGAATGTTGTTAAAAATAAACATAACATCTTTCTACCGCTGTAAAAAATAAAATAAGAAAAAACTCCTAAAAAGTGTTTTAACCACTTTAATGCTTTCTTTTTGTAAATGTGTGGCCTTCTTAAGGACTGCAGATGTTTTAAAACCCTTGAATAATGTTGAAACCTCACAGGTGAGACATGTGGGCTTTGTGCAATAAAAGAAAACAGTGTTTCAGCTGTGGGGCACTTTATGACAAAAAACATGTACACAGTAAATAAGAACACTTTTCTAAATCATGTAAATCTTATTTTTTACCATTAAATTTGTTAATCTTTCCTGCTTGAGTTTGTTCATGTTACTGAGTTCAAATTTGATGCTTTCTTTGAGCTAAGAGGCAACAGGACAGGATACTGATGCTTTGCCTCATTTTGTGCAAAGGTTGACAGGACTGTGCAGTTCACACTATGTTTGAGTACCTTGCAGAATCCCATCTCTACAATAAAATTCATTTGATTCATCAAGTTTTATGGCATTAATTCATGCAGTTCTCTTAAAGTCTTACAACAGCTTCTTATTGTTTATTCAGATTCAGCTTTGCAAAACTAAACTGCACTGCCATGTTCTTTTTAGAGACAAGAGGCTGTGTCCTCAAACTCTTCCTAACACGCAATACTTGGATCAGTCTTTGTCTAATTGTACTGTTATCAAATAACATGCTAACAGAGGCCTGTAGAGTCTGAGGAGTCATGAGCTTTCTTGAGTTACTGACTCTGTCTGCTTGCTCCAATCTCTGGGGTGAATTTCTGCTCCTGTGAGGATTGTGGAAATGTCTGAATACACACCCAATTGCTCCAGAGCGGCAAACTGACAAAGCTTCTGCATTTATAGAGGTGCTCAAGCTTGCTGATGATAAATGAAGTGGATTAGATTAGCAGTACCTCTTAGTTCTATGAAAGCAGTAAGGCTGTACTTATGCACTTAAGCACTAGATGTTGTGTAAATGTTTACTTGTCCTTTTTAGGCATTTATAACAATATTTCAATTTTTATTTACATTGGTATGTTCAGATAACCTCAAACTGGATGCTCCCCCCCCCCCCCCATTCTGTATTTTCATGAAGACTCAATAACACAAACGAGTGGATGGATAAAGACTCTGTAGAGCTTTAATTACTTCCCAATTCCACATAAAACAAATATAAAAAAGTAGAGCACTCTCTAGATTCAGAATCAGTCAGAACCGACCTGGAACCTCCCTTCCTATGAAGATTATTTCTGTAGCTCCGTCTTCATACAGTTTTTAAAAAGATCCATTCATAACAATACGGCCAGGAGGTAAAAATAAACAAAAGAGAAAACAAAGAAATACATCCAAAAGAAAAAAAGGAGCGCTACCACAAATTAAAGATTTTCTCAACAGACATCCTCTGATGTGGCTGCACATGAGTGAAATGAATGGCACCAGACAGGAAAAATAAAAATAAAACTGAAGAGGAGATTCTTGATGCAAGAGCTGGTTTTTCTAATGTGTCGCTTCATCACATCGGGTGAACACAAGTACACATTTCATCGGGATCGTGTGTCTCAAAGCTGCAGGGCGCAGAACTGCTGGTACACGGCCAGGATGTGGTGGTCGAGCTCGGCGGTGAACAGCAGGTTCTCCAGGGTTCCCATGTACTGCTGGATGGTCGCGTGGTGCTGCAGAACAAGGGGGAGACGTCACAATAGAGTTCACAGAGTGAGTTTGGGGTAAAGCTAGCCTTGGTTTCCATATTCAGATACATTAAAGGTACAGAACTTAGCAGTGTGTGGAAAGATTTTTCTTCCCCCCCAAAATGTCTCTTTTGGTAGTAAAGGGTTCCAGCCCGTTCTCCTGTTGAACCAAAAGCCAACTGGAACTGAGTGAATCACATAAAGCTGGCATGTTTATATTGGCTCATGTCCAGCACAGCAGTATTTGCCTCATGTTTACAGTGCTACTCCTAGCATCTTAAAGCCTGCACCTGAGCCTGAGGTTCTGCTGGACATCTCTTCCTGTTAAAAGAGTTGTTCCTTCCCCACTTGCCAAGTGCTGCTAGGTCCCTCAAAATGAAGGGCCTTTAGTTTATAGCAGGGGTGGGCAACTCCAGGCCTCAAGGGCCGGTGTCCTGCAGGTTTTAGATGCGTCCTTGATCCAACACAGCTGATTTAAATGGCTAAATTACCTCCTCAGCATGTCTTGAAGATCTCTAGAGGCCTGGTAATGAACTAATCATTTGATTCAGGTGTGTAGACCCAGGGTGAGATCTAAAACCTGCAGGACACCGGCCCTCGAGGCCTGGAGTTGCCCACCCCTGGTTTATAATATAAGGAACCCCTATGTTGTTAATTAAATAAGAAAAATAAATTGGATAATAGAAGACAAAGTAGCCTTTATAAATGAGATTCCAGCCTCTCTGCTCTCAGATATTTTAGATTTTTAGAGTCAGAGTGGCTCACTTTGCATGTAAGCACTACTGGCCTGCATGCAGTGTGCTATGCATGCTTGAAATTACATAATTTTTTTTTTTTTTAATGAAAATGTGGCAGACAACTTCGTCATTTATATTTTTCTGATTTTCCAAGTAGCTTTATGGATGCCATAAGTCCCATTGAACCTAATAATGTGTGTGAAATTTGTGTTTGTCTCAAAAGTCTTAAAACTACAAAGAAAGTAATTGCTTGTCCTTTTCCCGAGGAGTAAAGAAAGTCAAAATTTTTACTCACCCAAAGAAAACTAAAATCAGACTAAGTGGGCATTAATAAAAGAAATCTAATGATGTGTGTGAGAGTGTTTTGTGCTTTTACCATGAGGAAGATTTGCTGCAGCCGCTCGATGCCGTTTTTGTACCAGGGCGTGCTGATGTCAACGCTGCCCGTTTCACAGCGAACCAGGTGCTCCGTCAACAGCATGATGAAACGCTAAGGATGGGGAAAAGCCTCATTTAAAAATGCTTTTATGGAGCAAGCTTTTATCTTTGCATTTTAATCTCTTCAGCTCGAGAAAGAAGAAAGAGTCGGCAGTGGTGACTGTCATGACGCTGGCAACCATTTTAGCCTACACGAATCCAGGAAGTTTAACAACCTTGGAGTATTCAGTTCCAGAAAAAACTGATCAGTCAGCTCTGAGTGTGTTCACTCTAAGTGATCGCATTTATCTTTTAAAACATCGTCTGTTACTGTGGTCCGATATGAGCTTTGACCTTGTCTCTCTAATGAGGAAATGAAATAAAGTGGCAGTCAGCTGCTTTGGTGACGAGAGGAGGCCAAAACCAGAAACTAAACCAGAGTTTAACTTCCGTTGTTGGGGAACTGAAAACCTCAGTTTTTACTGATTCCACTTTCTTGAACACAACCCTGGTAGAAAATCAATTCTGTTCGGAGATTTTTTTTTTTTTGGTCTAATCCCAGAATTTAATCCGTCCCCTCATTCTTCCTTCACTGACATTTGACTGAGCCGGAGGAGGCGGGTCAGATTCAAACCCAGCAGTTGTTTCATGTGTCTTCACTTGTGATGATATAGATCTAACCCTTTCTACAGTGCTGTTAGCACACAATGTTTACCTTCTAAGGAGCAATCAGCTGCAGTGATGTGGGGATCTGCTCAGATTTAACACAGACACAAGCCACTTGACACAGGGCCACTAGAGGGCACTACAAAAGATTAAATCCCTTGTTTACTTCCACCTGCAGAAGTTGCAGAAGTTGGAGAGCTGGCACCAGCAGCGCTGCAACCTTGAAACCGGTTAAGTAGTTAAGAAGATAAACTGTAGTCTTCCGTACCTGGAAGATGACAAGGAAGAGGTTTTTCTGCTCGCTCTGAGCAGACTCCACCTTCTCCTGGAGTCTCTCGATCTGCTCCTCCAGCTGACCCTCCTCATCTTCACTGTTCTTGTCCATATCCTCGTCGTCCCCGCTGTCGCGCTAGTAGTGAACAAAAATTTGAATTCATTTTACACAATTTGTTCATTATTTTAAGTTTAACGTTAAAATAATGATGATTGCATATTGGGGGGAGGGTTACCCTCTTGTGCTGCTGTTTCTCCAGTTTGTCTTTGGCCTCCTCCAGCTCCTTCTGGATCTTCTGCACGTGTTTGTTCATCTTTCGGATGGTCGAGTGCAGGATCTCCCAGATGAAAAGTCTAGATGAGGCACAAAGTCTTTCAGTTTACAGAGAAGACGCTGCGCTTGCGTCATGAGAGCTAAAACCTAAACATCTGCGTGTCCCACCTGGTGAACTCGTGGGCCATGTCCTGAGAGAAGAGCCAGTTGGCGACTGCAGCACAGTCCACAACCTGCGTCCGAATCAATTTGTCCACCAACACGGCGATCATCTGCCAATCAGCAGAGTTTACATGAACCACAAAAAACAAAAACAAAAAAAAAAAAACTGGCTTCATTTACATGCTCGTGGGTCTGTTTGTTGTACCTGCGGGTGGTTCCTCCACACTTCATACAACACTTTGAGGAGGTGCAGCTTTCCCTCGTCACTGTTGGCCAGAGTCTTCAGGATCTCGTGAAACCTGAAAGCAATCAGACGCAGGTGAGGCCAGCAGCTCTCCAGTCACTGCATGTGCATTCAGAGCATAAAAAGCAACTAAATTAAATAATTTTCCTTTTATTTCAGCTCTTAAAAAAATAATAGTTTCTGGCACTTTGTATAACAGCAGAAAAGCATCTGATACATCTCTCTGTATCATAGATGAATACAATACAACATTTTGGTGGCAACAGATGTTCCTTACTTGCCGAGCGCACTGAACGAGTGGCTGAAGGATTTGGCTGCTAGGTTGAGCAGAGTCTGCAGGAACACGTCGATCTTCAGCGGATTGAAGCTCTCGCCCTCGTCTGGAGGGACCGAGAAAGAAATGTAATCAAAGAAGGGAGAAGTGTAGGAGAAAGACAGCACTGCACAAATGAACTTTTCATGCAGGAGCAAGTAAAACGAAACAAGAAACAAACCATCATCATCTTCCTGATTGGGGTTGGGGACCTCTTTGAGGACGGTGAGGATCTCTTCGTTAGATGCTCTGTTCTTGATGGCGTTACTGACGGTGATGGACATGGGTAACCCGGTAACGAGGCTATGAAGCAGCAGAGTCCAGTATTTAGTTATCAGTCTGCTCCTTTTTGTTTTTAAGTAACAAGAAAACAAAATGTCTGGCAGTCTTACAGGCGCTCTCGTCTGGATATTTATATGTAAAGATGGGGTCAGCAGGAATGAGGGCCGAAAAGGTTGGAGGCACGATGTCCACTATCCTCTGGTGGTATGAAAGTCTGCAATTAAAGCAGCACAACAGAGAACAGCAGAGAAATGAGCAAAAACACAGACGTTCTTTCCGCTACAATTTTCTAATCCAAAGGGCTTTTTAAATGTTTTCTTGTTATTGTACTCTCTTCCCAGCCTTACTTCTTCCCTATAGTGGCCCTGATACACCGTCACAAACACTCAAGATAAAGAAGATAAACCCTCTCTAACTATATTACTACACCTGACTTGTGTCCTGATCTCCTCTACAGGACTGGAAAACAAAGAAAGCATAAATAGTGCCCCAATACCTCATGCACTTCTCCAGAACCTCTTTGACAAACTTGGGCTTGGGTTTCTCTAGATCCACGGTCAAGCAGTCAGACCTTTAAGACAGAGCATGATTTAGGTTATAATATTAAAAAGGCAAAACATAAATACAGCCACTTTAAATGCTCCCAGTCAGTCACTCACCAGTCATCCCAGCTCCATCGGAACTGGAAGTTGCTCAAATGATGAGAAAACCAGTTGATTAGTCTGCAAAAATTAGCAGTGTGATCACATTAGAGTTAAATGAGAGTCAGGAAACCTCTTTGTACTGTTAAAGTTAAGACACAGAAACATTACCGGTCTATGCAGGTGGTGTTCATGGTGTCCAGTCTCATGTAAAGCATCTCTGTGGCTTGGGCCAACTAACGGGCAGGTGTTAAGGCTCCAATAACAACTTCTAATTGTTAAACCTTTAACAATTTCCCAACTAGAGTGTGTTTTCTACATATGTGCTCATTAAGACAAGTCAAATCTGATCTCCATTTGTGTCCTTTCACAGACACTTCTACTCATTAAGCTCCTTGTTGTGTTACAGTTAGTGAGTTCAAGTTAACTGAACTGCCCATAGGAGTGAATGTGTGTGTGTGAATGGTTGTCTGTCTCTCTGTCCCGAGGCGTACCCCACCTCTCGCTGTATGGTAGCTGGGATAGGCTCCAGCCCCCCTGTGACCCTGACAAGGATAAGCAGATGAGAATGGATGCCCTAGAAGAATTATTCAATTTGATCGCGACATGGCAAATATGTGTTTTTGCATTATCTGGTGCATATTTTTGCTGCCTGTATTAAATTATTATGAAGAAAATGTCACAGGAACAACAGAGAGGAGAATCCAGTCACACATCTGACTCAAATGCTAACCTTTTAGCCCCACAGCCAAGGTTACCCACGATAAACTATTTCACCAAACTCTCAGCGTCTCAGTATTGAATCCTGGGGTTTGAACAATGATTACATAAGACCGACTGCTAAAATACTTAGGCCCTGTTAATCTCTAAAACTAATCTAAATTAAAGATGGCCACGGTTGCCTTTTGCAACAGTTTGGTGTATTTAATTCAAACAAGTGTTCAAATTTTTCAAAGGAGCAGCTAAAGGTTATTTTTTAAGATAAAATAATCAAGGATACGACTTGGGGCAACGATCCGGGCTGCAGTTTGCAGAGCTCGATCAGCAGTGTGGTGTACATGACATCGATGTGAGGCGGCGAGGGCAGCTGGAAAAGTTCCCCAAAGATCACCTACAAGAGAAAAAAAAGCCATTAAGCCAGCAGATTAGACTAAAACAGCTCTGCACTGTTTCTACTTTTTGATGCCAGAAACAAGAAAGAAAATATACCTCGACGATATGATAGTTGAGTGGGATCTTATTTTTCCCTGGGTAGCTGAGGAGCTGGGCAGCGCTGAGCGTTAGGAATAGAACAACAAAAAATTAGTTTAAGCATTTTAGTAAAAAATTAATACGAGTCACTATTTATTCACACATTCAGGTGTAAACAAAAAACAAAAAGCCCTCATTGCTCACCATGTTTTCCTCTCTTTCCAGTGAGTTTTGATAATGCAGTGCAGGTTTTCCTCTATAACAAATCTCTCCACAGAATGGCTGCCGGGCATAACAGGTCCCTGAACAGAAAGAGATGAATATGTAAAAAGTTGCAGAAGAAGAGTTTGACAGACAGCGTTTTATTTGTAATGAACCTCTGGGGCGTCGGTGTAGTCAAATACGCGGAAGATGACCCGGGGCATGGGGTACTGGGCGTCGGGCATGTGGCCCGGTGGGGTGAAGGGGGGCAGGTTGTGTTGCAGGGCCTCGCAGAGCACGCTGTCAAAGGCGATGTAGGGACGAAGAATGTGACGCTCCTGCCAGCGGTCTTTCTTCAGCTTCTGAATCTGAGCCCAAAGGCAGTCCAGGTACTGGAGGAAGGAAGATACGATCCGTTTACTCAGACGAAAACAAACATTGCTGTATCCAAACAGCAAGCTCTAGTAAACATGAGGCCATAAGGAGACACTTTTACTGTTTTGACCATTGCACATATTTGCTGTTGTTTAACCAACTGCAAGACTCACCTCCTCTTGTGGATGGGGTTTATCTGCAGTCCACACCTGCAGCATGGGGACATGGGTCTTTACTCTCCTCCTGAAAAATGTGGATGTAGCCAAGAATAAAAACGAAACAACGGCAGCAAACGATGATTGCTTAATTAAAATCTAACCAAACCGGGGAACGTACTTGAGGTAGCCTTCAATCTGGCTGAGGAGCCGGTCCATCTCCACGTCCTTCTTCTCATAGAGCTCCTTCCCGACCCAGGGCAGACAGGACAGAACGACGTACACAAACCAGTCCGACCGAACCTGACAAAAAAGAGACCAATTAAAGGACTGGATCATAATCCACCACAGTGTGGACTGTGACACAGCCATGGGCTAGTGAAAAAAGATCAAAATGTGCTCCATAATGATAAAGACTCACCAAAATTAAAAGAAAGAAAGAAACAGATAAATCAAATAATTACTATTTTAATGTAAGGTCTGGCTCAAATGTGAACATTACAAATTATTTATATTGCTTTTGGGTACAATGCAGCTTGTTTCACACCATAAACCATCTGCCTACCTGTGGCACATCTTCCTCCTGAGTAACACTGACAAAGTTTTCAAACATGGCCACCATAGAGGGAGCAGCAATCACGTGGCAGTTGACCAAATCAGACAGAAAACGCACCTAAAGAAAGAGATGTCATTATGTAAAATAAATACAAAGTGGCCATGTTAATTAGTTTAAAAGCAATCTGTAGGATTATTATAAAAGCCAGCATACCAAGTAAACAGCTTCACTGTACAAGTTGTTTTTTAACGTCTCCTTCAACTGCCTGATCATGGCCTCAACGAACTCGCCCCCAAAGTTGTAGTTCCTGGCGTTAAGGAGGCCGACTAAGGTCGTATAAACGGTCAGCTTCTCGGGCAGGAGGCGGGCACTGTCAACAAATGACAACATATAATGACTGCCGCCACACAAAACACACTTGCAAAATTTATTAGAAATCAAAGGGTGAGAGGTGTGAACGTACACAGCACATAAAATGCGCAGAATTTTGCTTTTGTAGTTTGGGAGGTCTGCCTCTAAGACGCCAGCGAGGCCCTCCAGGTTGCTCTCGAGGGATGATGTGCTCTGTAAGGAAATATTTTCGCACAAGAGCAATTTGTCACTAGAAAGCAATTTAACACAAAGCAAAGAAGACTTAAAAAGAACATTCTGGCATTTACTTTAGAAGCAAAGTTTTGCACTGAACTTGTGTGGCTCATCTCTCTAGAGTGGAAAATGAAGCTACTCATCCTGAAAATAAAATGTGTCCTTCCTGTAGAGTCTCCTTACCTTTTCCCCAACACGACATATCAGTGACTCCAGACGGTCTTCGATCTCAATCGGCTCCGATGTTCTCCTCCTCTTATGGGCTTGACCTCCTGGAAAGGTGAAAGAGTAACACAATAATCAGAGCCAGAAGAGGCTCAACCAGCTCCTGTAGGAATTATCTGTCAGTTTCTCTTAGCTAGTGCACTCTAATCTCAATGAGTCTTTTCAAAGTAAGGATGATAAATTCTCCGCTGTGTTCATCAGTTACACCGTCATTTCACGTTCAGTGGTTTTCAGACAGCACAGGACTATGAATTGAACAATGGTCTGATAAAATAAAGCTATGTGAAGTTCAGAAAAGCACACTTACACTGTCATTTAAAGAATAAGAGCATTAACAAAACATGAATCCAGCAATTGAATTGAACATTTAAAGGGGACCAAATTATTTTTACATTATTTTTTCTCTATTTTCTGTTATTTATATAAAGGTTTATTAACACTGTTAATATATTAAAAGTAAGGATGTAGTCTCGAGTGGTTGTTCGTTATGTCTTATCAAACCAAACAGCACTGTATCAACAGCGTTCTCTTTCTGGGATTAATAAGTTATTTTCCTGGTGTCGCATGCAGACTGCCACACCTAACAGCAGTTCTATACTTGTCTTAAGTGCACGGCGTAGGTACTTCATACTAGCAAACTCCTTCAAAATCTGATGACTTAACCTGATGTGCACCTTCCTGGAAAAGAAACTACACATCACACTACACAACTCATTAAAGGGCTTCAGCCCTAAATATATGTCCGAGTTGTTTTATAGATACAAACCCTAAGGTTTGCAAGATCTGGTCACCTAATGCTGCTTGAATCTTAAACAAAACAGGCTAAAAAAGCACTTAGCTGCTATGCTGTTAACCAGGGGTGTCAAACATAAGGGCCAGGGGCCACAATCGGCCCAGGAAATACTCCAGTCTGGCCTCCATGGGCAGCTTTCAAAAGTGTGAAGGAGGGCATTAATTCTGGCTTCTTGATTGTATTTTCATAACTTTTATAGGTTTTTATACAGATAAAGAACTCCATGGCTACTGATCCTATGCCAAAGTAATTAAGCAACAGGCGAACAATTAAATGACAGATATGTTTACGTTTACTGTACAAATGTATAATTTTTAAAAGAGAGACGTGACAAAAAAAAAAAAGACAGGGTATTTTCTGTGAATTAACAAAAACTGTTTTATAATTCAAACTGTATGTGTGGCTGTGTGTGAACCAAGACACAAAATAACTTTTGACATCTCTGCTTTTTATTACCATCATTGCTATTATTGTGGTTGCTATGAATATTACTACTATTTCTGCATTTCCCTTCTTTTCTGTTTTAATCTTAATCTTGTAAAGCATCTTGAATGACTGTAGTATTTGAAAAGTGCTATATTAAGAAACTTGATTTGCCCATGTACATATGCAAAGTTACCATAGTCCCAGATTAAGAGAAGAGATCTGATTTAATCTTTAAACAGACCAGGTCACATTTAATTTCAGGATCTTGCACTCTGCGGGAAAATATTTGATATTTTTAGGTGATTTTCCCCGCCCATAAATCCAGATCCATAGTTAAACTTTCAATCAGATGTTAACACTAAATCTCGTGCATGTTTTGAAGTGTTTGGTTACCGCCCCATAGTCGCTGACTACTCTGATTAACGCCAGCTAATCCTGCAGCTAGCTGCACCGGTTCATTTTGCGGCTGCATGCGACTGTTTGAGCACTTTTCTCGCTTTCAGTGCGCCACAATGTAACTGAATACTGCGGTCATCACTGGTTTTGAACTTTCTGGATCTCGCCGATAAAACCCAAACATTAAACTAGTAAAATAACCCTCCCAACAGTGCGTAGGGGACGCATGAAAAGCTCGCTAACGCCAGCTAGCCACCGCTGGTTAGCCTAACGGTGTGAATAACACGCCGTTAACGTGCACCGACTCACCGTCGTTCTCATCGCTGTGCCGCCTCCTGGACATGTTTCACCCCGCTTCGATGTGAATGTAACAAAGCCAAAATATGTGTTGAACGAGAAACAAAACAATGAGTCCGTTAAACGAGTTTATCTATGGATCATTCAGCAGCCAGCCGCTCAGAGAAAAATAAAAGCGGTCTGATTCAAGTGAAGCACATCCGGCTAACCCGGAAAGTGCACCGTCTTTGGTGTCCGGAGTCTTGTGCTGAGTTTTCCGGTGCACGTTTGGAGGATGTGTTTGTTTGTTTCCTTAAAATAATATGTTAGAATTTATCTTTAATTCTGGTGAGACGGGTTAGTCGCCAACTGTTTTAAAAGCTCTTTTAAAACACAATGGCGGCGGATGATACACCCTGCTCAGAGTTTATAAACTGGGAGGTTGACTCTTCAATTTGTAATGGATTCAAACAGGAGAAGCAACTTTCTGCCCACAAAGGAGATACTACAGCTTCTGCAGGAGAAAGGTGAGCATCAGGACACACTGACTGGAATCCCTGTTTTATGGTTCAATTGTTGGACATATATAACGATTATTGTGAAATTTCAAGATATTTAATTTTGTTTTTCGCACATTGAAGTCTGAGGCAATGTTTGAACATTAATATCTCAAAATCTAAGAAAGATAAAAGCCTTAAATTGTCACTGGCCTCTCTAAGCATCTAAATGAATCTGATCTGTAATCTGTATTTTCTATTTAAAATCTGAAAATACATACACATTTGAGCACACTCATGAAAAAAAACTTCAAATTGCAAAAGACAATTGGTGACAGTTTACATATTTATGAACAACAATATTAAAAAAAAAACCCCGTTATGATCTGTTTTGCATTCTGTAATTTTGTATTTTTAATCAGTGGTTTCTCAGCTGTGTGCTGGGAGTGTAGCAGAAAAAAGTAGTTCTTCTACTTAAAAAACTATATTTTCCTATTATTATCATCATTATTGTTGTTGTTGTTGTATAACTTAGAGGCCAAGGAAGCCCCTCCCCCCCCCCCCCCCCCCCCATAGGTTTCCTCCTTGTACTTTGATATGCTCCCATGTCCTGTTTTACAGTCTGTGATGGACTGACAGATGGGGTGTGCCCACCTACCTTCCAATGTCAGCTGGGATAGGCTCCATCTCGCCCAACCACTCTAAGTTGGATAATATAATAATAATACAATAGTAATATATTGTTAAGAAGGAAGGGTCATTATTTACCAACTTTTGAGTCATTTATTTTAGAAACGGATACAGTTTCTAAACTACTCTGGACAAATTTCAATATTATCGCATATTGGGCAACATATGCACCAAACTGTGGCATACGATCACACAGCCACTGTCTTATAATCTTAAACATCTATTTGACCATGTTAAAGATTTAACTCTTTAATTGTTTTTTATGTTATCCCCTCAGTCATTTGCTGCCTTTGTGGCATCCAAGAAGGACGGTAGTCACGAGGAAGGAAGCCCTTTGTGGTGCTGCTGCGGCCAGACGTTCATCGAGCACGCCGCCATTCACAAACACGTGGCCAGAGTGCACAATGCTGAAATACAGCAGCTCGCACAGGACGAGTATGAGCATTTGTTTAGCCAACTGGAAGAAGAGCCCGAAGCAACGCAGGTGAATGAGCACAGTGGAGAAACGGTGGACGTCTCTGTGTGGATTCCCGATATTAGCCACATCTCTGAGGAGCAACTTAAAAAGTAAAGACAATCTCAATACAGTTATTTCACTATATTCTATATTTCTAATCTATATATGTAGATTATTAATGTGTCCCGTTTTAATTTTTGAATTTGATGTTTTATTTTTGTTCTTTGTTCTCTCGTTCTCCATCAGCGGTCCAGGCAGGGTTCTGCTTTACTATCACTACTGTCGCGTCGAGGAGCCACATGTCATCTGTGCTTGGCAGAAAGCTCTGTGTGAGAAGCTCCACTTAACGGGCAAGGTGAATGAATTGTCCCATCCAGTCTTGGGTTGAGGAACACTTCTATGAAAGAGCAAAGAAAAAAGGCTATTCTCTTAATTTCAGTGAAACCGTGCCATTAAAATATGTGTTGATCTTTTTCTTCAGGTGAGGGTGGCGACTGAAGGCATCAACGGAACAGTTGGTGGCACAAACTTGGCCACTGACATTTACATAGAAGCAATGCGTTCACATCCGCTGTTCGAGATGGATGAGGAGGATTTTAAGGTCAGAATCAGATAAAGGGAAATTTTATATACTAGTGTCACCTCCCTCTCTTAATATTGCTTCATAGGATCGTAGGACTCTGTTATAGGCTCCATCAGGGTGTGGTTTGTCCATAATCAGACTTTAAGCAGTTATTAATTTATTTTTGTTAATCTTTGAATATTAATGGTGCTGTTTTTGTGGGTTTGTTCAGACCAGTGACGGTGGCACAGAGTGTTTTACAGAGTTGAAGGTTGGGGTCTACAAGGAGATTGTCCCAATGGGAGTGGACCCAGATCTTATATCTTACCAGCTGGCAGGTACTATTTGTACTGACACTGTAAGCCTACAGAAATTATTAATAATGTAAGTGACACCTGTAGCTGATTTACTAATATCATTGCCTTTATTATCATAATAAGGTGCAAAATGTCTGCTTTGATTGCTGCTCTGCAGCCATAGCTGTGCTCTTGTACCAGCTGATGACAAACTCTATGCTGTGCTTGTATATAATGTCAGGTATGTGTCTGTTTTGCCTCTCAGGAGTTCATCTGGAGCCCGACGAGTTTCATAAAGAAGTGGAGGCTCTTCTGACTAAAGGAGATTCATGCAATGACACCGTCCTCCTGGACTGCCGCAACTATTATGAGAGTAAAATTGTGAGTAGTAAATTTGTTTTCTTTAGGAGATTGTTGACTTCATTCAACTGTAATCCGATCATTTTGGTGGTTTCAGGGTAATGTATGATCTTGGCATACTTGTGACATGCCCAGAGATTTATGTTGTAATTTAAGTTTTTTGTGCACCATCTACACAAGCTACCATGAGCAAATAGTAAGGATGGGCAGAACACTGATATTTGTAGCTGGAAATAATGAGTCTGTATCCAAACAGAAAAGCATGACTGGGATCAATTTCATAAGCCTCAGTATTTTAGCCAGAAGCAGCGGTATTGAGGTTGTGCTATTAGAGAGTAATGTGCAAAGGCTGTAACAGTTAATAATTGCTGTTTTTTTTGCCTTCAGGGGCAGTTCACTCAGTGCCTGGCGCCAAATATCCGTAAGTTCAGCTACTTCCCAGACTACGTGGACCAGAACCTTGAGCTGTTCAGAGACAAGAAGGTTCTGATGTACTGCACAGGAGGGATCCGCTGTGAGCGTGGCTCCGCCTACCTCCGCTCCAAAGTAAGCTGTTCAGTCATCAGTCTGGAAAGCTTTTAGTGGAGCTGGGTTCACTCGCTCACTTGTTGCAGGTTGCTGATTCTCCACAAGGGGGAGCCTTTTACTAGTAGTTTAGGTATTGAGAAATGCATATTTCTGAAATGTTTGCATCAAATATTTTAAGTTCTTGTTCATATTTATCTCTTAAATCTGGTACCAGGATGTGTGTAAGGAGGTTTACCAGCTGAAAGGTGGAATTCATAAGTACCTGGAGCGTTTCCCCGAGGGGTTCTATCGTGGAAAGCTTTTGTGTTTGATGAACGCTACGCCATCTCCTCAAACAGTGACATCATCTCAGGTTAGTGTGTAAACAGAGCCCATTCTCTGCATGTTAGAAGTACCAGAAAGCATCCATAAGATCTAATATTCTCTTAATATACATGTATTTTTTTAAATAAGATAACAGACTCTGTTTAGATTGCAGGTACTGCGGCCATCCGTGGGACCAGTACAAGCTCTGCTCCACCCAGTACTGCTGCCAGCTGGTTCTGTCCTGTCCAAGCTGCAGACAGGACGGCCACACCGCTTGCTGCCCACGTGCCAGACCAAAGGTCAGGCTCAGTCCGAGGAGACCTCACATCACAAAGAGGAGTGCGAGTGCACTGACGTACGCCCCAGAATCCCTCAGGATGTGTAAAATGATCAGATTTCAGTGCTTAAAAATAACATAAACATAGTGTAAAATGTGTGTGACAGATTTTCAAAATAGGAATTTTTATACTAATGCATGTGGGAAATTAAGTCAGATGCATTTTAACTAATGAAAATCTATTGAAGAAATTGAAGAAAATATCTGCTGAATCTGTTTTTATCATGTGAATATTGTGAACATTTTGTCACTAATGAAAGCTCAACTTCAACTTATTGTATGTATAAATGTTTCTGTTTCGTACTTTTAAACTGTGACATATATTTTGTCTCTTGTGTTTTCAAGCTGTTTAACAAACAGATGCATCATTATTTAGTGCTCTATGTATAGCCAAGATATGCATGCATTACTAGGATCCATGCACGTTTGCTTTCCAAACTCTGCAAACTCTGGCTAGTGTAGCTTACTGAGACTGCAGGTGTTGTTTAAAGAAACCACAAGCAGTAGTGCATCTGTTTGCCTCATGGCAGAATGTCCCTTTAACATATGTAATAATAGATGCATGTCAAAAACAGCGCCAAAGTATGCAGTTACATAATAGGTTTAGCAGGTCATAGCATGAAAGTTACAGCAACAGAAGCAGTAAATGAAAGCAGTAACTAAAATAAAGCTTTTAAGAAAACGTGATGTGACAGACACGAAGGAGTGGGGTACCTGCCTGTTCTGGTAGGCTAGTCAAGCTGCACAGGGCTGGGCTGTGAGGACATGTCTCATTAAAGGAGGCTGGGCCCAATTGATGCTTGGGGAATGTTTTGTTTTCTAACAATTTGGTCAGAGACATGCAAATTAATAGCCAGATGGAGGAGGCATTCTTCACCCTGTTCCTACTCAGACAAAGGAGCAGATATCGATTCTACTGGGTATATGCCTGTATGTGGACCTGTTCAACTCTCCTCTCTATAAAGGCCCAGTATCTCAAGACTGGAACAGGATGTATCTACACTCTCAAGACTGTGCAAGGAGACATAGCATGTGTGGTTACACTATCATTCCTTTCCAAAAATAAACTAAAACCATCAGCAGGATATGCAGAAACATCCACTACAGTATAAATTTCTCTCCAAAACCCCAAGCTGGAGATGATCTGAGACTATGCTTTTGTGCTGTGTAATACTAATATCTACCAGAAGGTGGTCAGGCAT